GGTGGGAGCCGGTCATGCCACCTCTGGCCCCTTGGAGCGAGGGGCTGCCCGGGTGGCTGGGTGGGGCTCGGTGGGACAGCCCTGCAGCCTGTGCCGCTGGCCTTTGTAGGCTCCAGCAGTCCGTCAAAGTCAGGTTGGATGGAGCTCTGAGCAACATGACCTAGTGGAAGCTGTCCCTGCCCATGGCAGGGGGGTGGGTGTAGGGGATTTTTAAGGTGCTTTGCAACCCAAACCATTCTGTGATTCCGTGATGACCTCCACACCCATGTGGGTTGCAGGGCCTGCTTTACCTCACAGCACTGCCTGTGTGCTGTGAGACCGCCTGGCTCATGTCACATGTTGCCTTGGAGGGAGATGAGAAGATGCTCAGGTATAGGCTTTGCTGGCAATAAACCCCACCAGTTATACCTATATGCAGACTTTGGGCCCGAGAGTTGAGTGAGTAGGGTGAGACTATTTCACACTATGTATGTATACACATGTATCTATCTACCTACCCAAGATGTAGCTCCTGGAGGGAAACAGCTTTCAAATAGGATGTGTTACTGTAAATGCGTTTTCACAAGACGTTTTGTGGTATTGAGTAGACATCACAAAGCACCGACAGAAACTTAGAAAAAGGCTCACGCAGAGGAAGGCTGCTGCTCTTCTCTTGGTATGTGGAGGGCAGTTTTGGATGAAGAAGCTGCACATTTCCCAGCTCTGGATGTTTGAGCACCATGTGAGTGCCATGGCCATCGCCTGGGTTGTTGCTGCGAGGTGGTTTTGTGTGGAGGTGTGCACTGGGCTCTGCCACTTGCAGCTGTTCCCACTTTCCAGGCTCAGCAAAGAAGAGGTGGTTGCTGAGGCTGGTGGACCAAAGTCAGCAGCTGGGCTCTGCTTATCCCCTCTGGGTTTTCCTTTCTTGTGCCCATCTCTCACTGTGATGGGTTTGTGGGCTCCAGCTAACCAAGTTGAAGTCTTTGGGAGTGGCATTGCTGCAGAGTGCTGTTGACACAACTTTCTCACAGTGTTTACTGGGGGAGAGGACAGCCTTTATATGAACTGGATGGAGGAATGGATCTAGGTTGAAAAATGAACAAAACCAGACAGTAAAACCTTTGGAAGTATTTTTAAGCCGTGCCAGGTTTCTCCCCAGCATATCACAGCTGTCCTGGCACCATGAAGTGGTGCAGGGGCAGGAGTGAGTGGCAATGGGGAATGACACTGATGAGCTGCCATCAGCTCCCTGGCTGCATCCCGGAAGCTGCTGAGGAATTGCTTGGGATCTGTGTGAAGTCTTACATCCCCCATGGCTCCCAATGGAATGCCTGGCATGTTTCTCAGATGTTTGTTGCCTTGTCTGAAGGAGCCTGAGCTGGGACAGGAAGAGAGTAGGAGCCATGTTTTCTGTTGTCACCTCTCGCTCTTGGGGGTGGATTATGTTGGAGAAGCCCAAGGGCATCGAAGATGATCTCTGCTCATGATGGCACTGGAAATGTTAGCAAGGGCTTCTTCCATCCTTGTGGCGCTGGGTGTCCCATGTTGTGCTGGGGGTTGGGCACCTCTCCCTTCCCTGACTGGGGCTGTGGGCTGCTGCCTGCGCGGGGGTATGGGCAGTGCTCTGCCCACACCAGTGGGCTGTTCTGGAGAAGGCAGCAATGCAGATCCTTCCCGGGGGTGAGGCAAGGGTGTAATCCTTCTGCGGAGCTGGGGATGTGCGGGGCTCGCTGCCCAAGCGGCAGCCGACTCAAGGAGGAAGAGGAGGAGGAGGAGGAGTAAGAGGGCGGTCAGGGCAGCTGCTGGCCAGAGACTGCTGCTGCCTCCCCTGAGCACTTGCACGTCCAGTTTCATAATCGGATTAAGGCAGCGGTATTAGAGAGGAGGGATGGGTCAGTGGGACAGGTTTACACTGGGGCTTACACGGAGGGGATTGAAGTGTATTTTTTAACCCTGCTCGGAGCGGTGCAGAGAAGATGGGGGCAAGTAGCACCCGCGGTGATGTGCTGGCTGGGGAGGAGAGCAGCCCCAGGGTGGCTGGGGGATGGGACCCGCTGCCCCTCCCCCCGGGAAGGCAGCCCTGCTCAGGCCTTGCAGTAAATTTGCTCTAATTACAGCCTCCAGCAGTGGGAAACCTCACTTAGAGGAAAGGCTCCTCTGGGGTGGGGGCGGGGGTGCTTCCCAGGCAGGCTCTGTTGTCTGAGGCCTCCGCTTCCCCTGTCGCTGGGAGGCCCCTTATTCCTCTGCCCTCTCCAGCTTTGCTGCTCTCCCCCCCCTTTAATTCTCCTCTCCTTTGAGGCCGGGATTTGGGAACAATGCCTCTCCCGCTCCTTGCCCCCCGGCTGGAGCCACAGGCAAACAATCGGGGTCGCTTGCTGCCAGGGGCCGGGCCGAGGGAGCTGCGCTCTGCAGCACCTGCCCCGGGCTGGGGGACTGGGCTGGTTGTGGCCTGGGGAAGGGCCTGGCGTGGTGGCCAATGCGTTTGTGCACCTACACTCCATTTCCTTCTTGGGCATGGGAGGTTTCATCTTGAGCCCCTCAAGTTCAGAGGCCTGGGAAGCTCTGTGCAAATGTGTCGGAGGACACTGGTGGCAACGGCAGTAACCTGATTGGGGCCCTTCTCTTTGCAGGTGGATGATGCAATGCTGATGTTCGACAAGACAACCAACCGACACCGAGGTGAGAGCGGCCGGCTGGCTGTAGGAGGGGGTTTCTGGAGGGTTTGCCCCTTGCCTTGCCTAGGGAGGGGCTAGCATCCCAGCAGCAGGGGATGCGGGTCGCAGCTGCTCTTTATCTTGCCTCCAGTCACCCTATCGTTTTGCATCTGCATCTTTTACTAGCGTCCCTCGCAGCACAGAGAGCTTTTGTCCAGTGCGTTTCCTGTTCTGCAAACTCGCCGAGTTGCAGATATGTGAGAGGAGACGTCCCCCTCCCCTGCCCATTTACCTCCATGGCTCCAGCCCTCACTGTGTGTCTTACCTTGTCCTGAGTAATCTGAGCTCCGGGAAAGCTGACACGAGAGCCTGACGAGCTCTCGCTTCTCACCCCTTCCTCGGCCCAGGGCCCGCTTGTGCTTACAGGTCACCTTTTCTTACCCGAGTCTTGCTGCTGGAGTCTGGTTACAGGATGGGAGCAAGGCTGTAATATTTGTGCTATCCAGACCCAGCCCAGCCATTGGCATCCCAGCCTCCCGCTTCGAGTCTTCAGACCAACTGCCTGGTGGCATGGCAGGGCTCGACACGAGCATTGCACCGGCTCAGGGGTTTATTGGCAACAACTTAACCTGCAAACTTAGCTTTGGCATCTTCCAGGTCAGGGCCAGGAACAGCTCTGTGCTGGGCCACTCACATGTCCGCCTGTTGTTTGAAGCACTTCCAAGCACCTCTGCCCCCAGGTCAGCGAGGGAACACTCCCTTCTGCTCTCACTGCACTGTGTGCCCTTCAGGTTTTTGCTTTTTTCTAAGGCTGTTAAATCTACTTCCATTGCCTGCCCTTGTTGGATGTCCAGCTTCAACTTAGAAGGGAAGAAATGTCAACCTCTGTTCCTCCATGGATGTCCCCCAGTCTCTAGTCCAATTGAAGAGTTGTTGGGTGTTTCAGGAGTGGGGAGAGCTGCCAGCTGCCGTGTTGGCGATGAGGTGCTCTGCCCAGGGTGCAGCAGGCCTGTGGGGGGCATCTGATGGAGCTCAGGAATGGCTTCAGCATCAGGGTTTTGCTCTTGAATTCCCTTGCTCCTCTGATTGAGGGTGTTGAGGTGAATAGTGTGAAACTACCTGGGCACAGACAGATGGAGGAATTTATGGAGAGACTTTTCTGGCAGTATGGTGGAGTTCTTGGCAGCAGATCCTTGTCTGTTTTTAAAAGTTATTTTAAAGCACCGTGGAATTGGCCAGTTCTGGAAAGCAGAAAGCTCTGCTTAATCCCAGCTTGCTTGTAAGGCAAAGCCTGAAGACATCCTCCCACCTGCCTCATTTTTCCGGAAGCGGCTGCAGTCAGCTGAGAGGAGTTCATTCTGCCCACCCGAGCTGGTCTTTGCCAGAACTGTCAGCAAGGGGGTTGGTGAGAGAAAGGAGATGTGAGAGTGGGCCAGGGGCCAGGAATGCTCTGTCCTGTTTTACCCCAGATACTAACCTTACTTTGGTGAAACTTCGCAAATTGCTTTGCTTGTGTGTTTCTGTCTTGCTCTGTACAACTGTGTTGCTGACACTTGCCTGCTTATGCCAGGCTTTACGGCCAGCGGCTGGTGAGGAAACGTGCAGGGTGCTGTTGCTGGTGGGGCATGTTTTGGGAGGATGGTGATGTCCTGGCAAGCAGCTGTTTGTTTCTCCACCGACCCTTTGTGTGAGCGTTTGCCAGGATCCTCCCCAGCATTATCAGCCACACAGCTGCCTGGCAGATAGCAAAGTTTTTAAAATCCCAACAACTTGGTTTTGAAAGCAGTTGGGTTCAGAGTGGGTGAGAAGTACAGGACAAAGAGAAAAGGGGAAGCTGTAAGGGGACAGTCTTGTTCTTTTTGTGCATAAAAGCAGGATTTTCTGGATAGGGAAGATGAGTGGCATCTGGTTTTGGAAGTGCCAATTGTACCATTCTTCTGCTGCCAATAGAAGGATGGGGGCAGTGGGTGCAAACTGCGCAGAGCTCTGACCTGATCAAGGAGTTTTGCCTTTTCTTCAGGGTTTGGGTTTGTCACATTTGAAAGTGAGGACATTGTGGAAAAAGTGTGTGAGATCCACTTCCATGAGATCAACAACAAAATGGTGAGTGTCTGGGGCAGAACCCAGGGGAGAAGGCACAGGGGTATGGGGTAGAGCGGGGCGGTGGCACAGGGACAGGGCGTGAGGCACTTGGGTCCTGATGCACTTGGGAGTTGGGTGGAGTCTTTTCCCCAAACTAACTGCAGCCAGTCCGGGGAGGAAACTCACAGTGTGGAGGGGAACCAGCACAATGCTCAGCTTTCAAGAAGAGCTAACTGTAATGAGGGATTGTGCAGTACTTGGAAGGTCTGAAGTTACATGAAACCTCCTGGTGGCCTGGGAGGGGGGCAGGTTTTACCTTTATTCAGAAATGAGGAAAGTTAGGTTTTGAAGCCCTGGTGCAGAGCTAGGCAGAGCGTTGAGGGCAGCTGTAGGGAGGGAGAAGCTGTGTTTGAGCTCTCTGTTGCCTGTGGTGGCTGCAGGGCGAGGGGCAGGGCTAGCAGCGTGCAGTCCTGCTAGAGAAGGACACCAGGCAGTGGCCAGGGCTGGGGAGTGTCCCGTGGCAGCAGCTCCCTGTGGCCATCGAACCTAATCCTTCCTTTCTTGTGGCAGGTGGAGTGCAAAAAAGCCCAGCCGAAGGAGGTGATGTCCCCGACGGGCTCGGCCCGAGGGCGGTCCCGAGTCATGCCTTACGGGATGGATGCCTTCATGCTGGGGATCGGCATGCTGGGTAAGCCCAAGGACACATCTCCTGCCCGGCTCCCGGCCGTGCCAGGCAGCAGCTTAGAGGCTTTATTCCGAGAGCGGGCAGGGCGGCCAAGGGCAGCTCTCCCCGGTGCGAGGCCGGGGATGCTGGCAGGGGGGTGCCCGGACCTGTTTGCGATCACAACTTGCCCTCTGGTGGCACCTGGAAAAACTGCAAAGTTGTCCCTGCTGCCCTGCAACAGCCAGAGGTGGCTGGGCACAGCTACGGGCTGGGCAGCTCTGGGCCTCTGCAGCTCCCTTAATATATGGACAGCAATTCTTTCATGCCTCTCGTGGAATAGGATGTAACTGCATAGCTGAACCGAGTGTGGAGTAATCTGTGCCCAGGCACCTTCCTCCCACGCTTCTACAGGCTTTCACATGAATGGGTTGATTAAAGAGCCCCTGAGCTACCACTTGAAACCGCAGTCCATATAAATGTCCTCACTGCCATTTAAAGACTTTAAAAATGGCCTGAAAATTCTAGTTAAGCTTTATCTCACTTTGTTCCCTCCCTTTCAGGGACAGCAAATGTTTGGTATTGCAAGGAAAACTATAAACTTATTGTGGGACTGTCTTGTAAGAAGAAATCGGTGACAAGCAGGCTGGGTTTCCTGTCTGTCAATGATTCTAAGGCAAATGTGTTCATATAAAATATATTAAAAAAAAAAGTCCTTTGCCTTCACTTCCCAGCCTACAAACCCTCGTGTCTGGGTCTGAGAGTCAAGTGTGATCCTTCCAGCATGGGTCCTGGTCCTGGCTTCTCTCCCTGCCCAAGTTTGTTCTAGCCAGGCTTGAGCTGACCCAAGAGCACACTGTTTGCTCAGCATCAATGCTGATGCTGCTGGGCAGGGTGTACTCAGCCTGGTTCTCATTGCTAAGCCTGCTGAGTAGCAGTTAGTCACAGAACAAAACCCCAAAAAAGGCATTTTTCCCGCAATGTTTTCACTTGACTTATTGAAGGAAAATACATCTTCAGGCTGTGGTTTTGGGTTTTTCCTTTTCTAAGCCATCTGAATTTTAAAGCTGCAAGGCCCAAGCTGAGTCACTGGGCAATCCACATACTCGTGTCTTGAGAGACCTCCAACGGCACGCTCCTCTGTGAGTCAGTGCCCTGCATTCTGGGCGCCGTGCTGGGGGCAGGTGCTCAGCTCTGGGACGGGCAGGGGTCACCCTCCCACCCAGCACCTGCTCTGCCGGCACTCCCCAGCGCTTCTAGTGCAAAGGGACTTGGGGCCATTCGGCCAGTCACGTGCCCCCCACCTCCCCGAGCTCCTGCTTGTAAATCCAGCTGGTGCCTCCGAAAGCCTTAGTCTGCAGAGCTATGAGTTTCTGAGAAGGAAACTTCCGTGTCCTTATGTGTTTAGAGGGAGGAAAAAAATTAAACGGGCCTGCTAAAACTGTCCTGCAGAGTTGTGTGTGCTGTGCGTTCTGCCCAGCAATCTCCTGGGGTTTCTGCTGTAGCCCTCTTTGTGCTTTCTGACACCCAACAGTCGTGCTGCGTGAGCAGGCAGGCACTGAGGACGTGGACCCGGCGGGCTTGCAGTAACTGAGCCCTTTTCTCTTCCACCAGGTTATCCAGGCTTCCAAGCTGCCACCTATGCGAGTCGAAGTTACACTGGCATTGCACCTGGCTACACTTACCAGTTCCCTGGTGAGTGGTGCTCCCTGCTCGGTTTTTTGGTCTGCCTTCAGGTGACTGGAGTCACCCTGGCATGATCCGTGACCCAGGCTCTGCCCCTTTCCCCTGTTTGGTCTTTCTTTAAATTGGAGACGGATGTGGAAGGGGGAGGGGAGAAGCCCTGGAATAGGTGGGAAGAGTCTGTCCTTCATTAGGATTATCCTCACACTCCGGTGGCAGGAAAAGCCCAAGGCTGCTCCGACACCCTTTATGTCAGCCTCCTGCCTAGGGCTGCTGCTGCCACGCAGAAGGGCCCCTGCAGCTCTGCCTGTCTCGCTGCCTTTGTGTGTGTCTGTCTCTCTTTGCAAGAGTTGCCACCACTCGGAAAGTAGCACAGAATTCTAAACTGTGGCTTTCCATGGGCCAGGGAACTCCCTAGGCACCCAATATGCAGTCACCTGCAATGCTACAGTTGTGTTCTGTACAGCACCTGGACCACTCGCAGCCTCCAGAAAGCATCTGTGGGGGCAGCGGGCTGCTGATCCTCTGCAAACTGGGTGGTTTCAAGCTCCCAACCCCGCCATATGCTCAGAACATGGATTCTGTGAGCGATGGCTGGAACCTGCTGTGCGGCAGATGCTCACAGCTTTCTGGGGCCTTTTCTCCCTCCCATTCTCTGTGAGGCAAGGGAACGAGGCAGAGCACGCTCAGGGAAAAGATTGTCTTGCTGTTTTCTAGAGAGGTGGCAACTCTGAGCATCCCTTCCTTACTCCATCCCTGAGTGTGATGGTTTATATATGAAGTCTTGATGTTAGGGACTGGGAATGGGAGGTTTCCTCTTTGCCTGAGTTGAGCCCAGGCTGACTATGGCTGAAAGTTGCTGCTGCCTCCTAGCTCTCTGGAAGCTCTCCCTGAATCCAGTTTATGGGTCTCAGTTGTAGTGGCTTCAAGTGCCTCATTGTAAAGCCACGCCCAGACGAGTGTGGCATCCACTGAGTGCCCACAGGCATGGCAGCTGAGAGGTCAGCTTGGATGGGTTGCAGAGCAGTGCTCCAGGGCTGACCCGAGGCTGCACAGTGAAGCTTGCACTCATCCTGCCTTGGCCAGATTTATTCTAAGGATAAACCAATCGTTTTAGTCTCCAGGGCAGGAGTCCAGCACCTTTCAGCACCAGTTATAAATTAATTTAAAGAAGACACTGGTCTGGTTGCAGCCTGGTTGCAGGCTGCTCCCCCAGCAGCCCCTGGCTGCCATCTCTCTGCGGGGTCTTCCTTGGGGCATTTGATGAGTTCCTAAGCTGTCTTGCCTTTCGTTTTTAGAGTTCCGTGTAGAGCGGACCCCTCTCCCGAGTGCCCCCGTCCTCCCCGAGCTCACAGGTCAGTCCCGCTCATTTCCTACACTCACAAGCTGGAAGGGGAGAAGGGGGCTTTGGGCTGTTCCAGTGCTGTCACTGCTCCACAGCCTGGTGCAGTTAGACTGGAAACATTCCTTATTTCCTCTTCCATCTGTACAAGCTCTGTCCAAAGCTGGGTCTGGAAAGATGGAGAGGCAATCAGAGCCATGTGTTTGCCTCCGAGAAGGGCAATGCAGGTCATACCAATTGAAGGCATATAATCCTTAGATGGTGTTTCCTGCTGCTTGGCTTGGTTTTAGCTCCTTGCCCCAGGCTGGGTGTAAACCAGATATGGAAAACTGCAGAGAGCAGTGTGACTTCTCAAAGGTCTACAAATGACCTCAACCTGAGCTGCTGCAAGGACGAGATCTGGAGTGCTGGGAGGAGGGAGAGGGTGTGGGGGCACTCCTGGCTACTCTGATCCCATTTCCCTGTGCAGGAGGGTCTGCAGGGAATGCTGCTTCTGTTCTGGGTGGTGCAGCTCCCCAGCTACTCCCACAAAGACTTCCTGAGCAGGAGTGAGCATGGTGGGACTCTACCCTGGAGTGCTCATAGGGAACTGTGGAATGAAACAGGGGCAGAGGACCATTCCCCAGAGACTAGTCCTGGCTCAGTGTCCTCACTGTGCAGATACCTTCTGTATCCTCGGCCCCTGGGTGGTGTGCAGTGTGTTCTCTCTAGGCGATGCTCCTTTTGTCTACTCTCCCTTCCATGGCCATGTTTTCCCCAGCTCTGTTGTGTCCATGATTTTTGTCGTAGAAAAGCAGCTCTGTGTAGTACCCTGCTCCCCATGTGCCATCTCATTTCCACAGTGTTCCTCCTCTCCAGCGCTTCCTTGCCTCCACCTCTTTCAGGGTTTGAATCTCTCTGCATTGGGGGGTGTGGAAAAGTTTCCTGAGAAGCTCTCCTTTAATTATCAGTACCAAAAGGCTTGAAAGGGGGTTTCTGTGGCACAGAACCATGTCGATCATCAGGGAGCCTTCATTCCTGAGGATGCTGAGGTTGACAGCCACCAATGAACAAGTTGCTCTGAGGAAGGAGACCAAATCCTGACTCCCTTATAAAACCTTTCCGTGACACCATCTATGCAACTACATAAGCCCCCAGCCCCCTCATCTTAGCCTTTTGGTTGCCAAGCAAAGATGATGTGGGTCCAGTTGTTTATTTACACATGCGTTTTTCAGCAAAACCCATAAAATTCATGGAGGAATGTGGGTGACTTGGCAAAAGTGCTTCTCCCTCCAGGGTCCACCCACGGCTGCACTCTGCCTTTTCCTAGTGGGGGTGAATCGCCCCGGGCCTGGCTGTCACCGGTGGCTGGGGTGCACCAGGGCCCTTTACAACAAGAAGTTATTAATGCTGCTGTCCTGGCTGGGCGCCACGTTAGCTTACAGTCCTGAGTGCCTCGCTGGAGCAGCAGCTGGGGATCGTGGCATTCTTCCCTGCCCGTTACGCTTACCTACTGTTAAACAGTCGCTGTGCAGCCTCTTGGCTGGGCCGAGAGCTGCGGTTCCCACGTATAGGCTGGAGCTGGTCCCGTGGAGGGCAGGGCCCCTGCCTTCCCACAAAAGCCCAGCGAGCTGTGCAGTGCTCGAGGGCCCTTGTGCCTTCGAGTGGATGCGTGCATGTGGATGGGCTGTGCTTTACGGGCTTGGCAAGGGGAACTGAGATGAGGGGATGGCACAAGCAGGGATGATTGCTCCAGCATGCAGGGAGCTCACGTGCAGGTGCTTTGTCATCTCAGCACAAACCTGCTGTCTCAGCAGATAGACGGCAAAGGCAAGAAGGGTTTTTCCTGGAAAAAGAACTGGAGTCTTCTTGAGAAGATCTGGCCGCCTTTCTCAGTAAACCTGCATTTGTTCAGCTGTGGTTAGGGACTTCCAGCACTCGTGGGGCAGGGGGGTGGCTGCCAGCAGCCTTTCCTCCCCGGAACAGCATCTCTGGGGGTGATGCGAAACAGCAACACGCTCACGTTGGCCCAGGGCCTGTAATGAGCGGCTAACCCAGATAAAAGCCTCGTGTGACGTTTGCTTGAAACAGGCTGGTGCCTGCTACTAAATATTCCCTTATAAGCTTGTCTGGGTTTCAGCCTTAACGCAATTGATTTGTTCTGACCTCTTTTTATGGTGCTCTAAACAGAATCACAGTGAATTTCACATTCAAGCATGAAATGCTGACCCAGTCATTTTAAGGGCAAAGAGAAACATACTGGATAGATGCCTCCTGCCTGAGGGCTGGATGCCTGTGGCAGTGGAGTTAGGCATTAGAACTGCTACATATAAATTAAGACTTACTGTTTTAATTAAGCCGTTTCTAGTTCCTGCTCCCTAGGTATATGTTTCCTGCTTTTCTACAATGAACAGGAAGAGCTTCAGCAGCTCAGGAGCAAAACTCATGGAGGGGAGGATGGTATGTCTTCAGCA